GCTGGGGGGGGAGGGGTGCAGGAGCAGGGGGAGGGATCTAGAGGGGGGAGGGTGCCGGAGCAGGGTGGGAGTGTGAGGTCTTGGCAAGAGGAGGGTGCGTGAGGGGGACGGGGGTGTGGCCATGAGGGAGATGGGGGGCACTTACCTGGCTCTCTGCCTCCCGCTGCACCCATTGATTCCCAATGGGAGCAGTGGGAAAAGTCTCCAGGTGAGCAGTTTCCTGCATGGCTGTTCCCCCAGCTGGGGGGAGGGGAAGCAGTACCACACAGAGCCGCCTCCTTACCCTGCAAGCCGGATCCGGCCCATGAGACTCCCCATTCCCGCAGTGGGAAACTGACGCTCTAACCTCATGGGGAAGCCGTGGGGCTGAAGCACCCTGCTGTGGGGTGGAGGGTAGGCCCCGAGCCTGAGGGCCACCGGCAAAACGGACACGGACCCCACTTTGAGAACCCCGGGCCGAGGGTGACGGGGACCCCGTTCTCGGTGGAGGCATCCCGCTGCTGCCATGATGTAACGGATGTGTGGCCGGTGGTACCGCGACAGACCCTGCGGGAAGCCGGGCGTGTGAGAGATGGAGGCCCCTTGTGCTCAAACGCGAATCGCTATCCCGTGCGTAGTGGTGTGATCGACAGGAAAAGGCTCCGCTCACGCTGGTATCTCGGGCAATGTGACGACTGCCACCGGAAAGCAAAATAAAAAGCAGCATCTGAAGTGGTCAGGGCGGCTTTCCCTCCCTCCCGCCCCTGCACTGCTCAAACAACTGGGGATGTTTTGCTTTCGGGCATGTCCGAGTGCTCTCTCTCACCTGCCCTGCAGCCAGTGTGGCTGGTCCCCCAGTGCTCTGGCGGGAGCACAGACATCTGGCCGGTCACTGCTCTATCCTGGATTCATCACTAGATTTACCCGGTGTTGCTCCGGGCCTTAACTCAGTTAATTGGGGGGGGGTGAAAATAAACAGGGCTGTCAATGGACCTGCGTTAACACCTGCGATGAGCGCAGGGCAGGATTAATGTGCTCATTTTTTAAATGAGTGTTTATCCAACCTGCTCTCAAATATCTCCAGTGACGGAGGTTCCACAACCCCCTTAGGCAAAAAGGTGAATAAAATCACCACTTCATCAGTCAGTATAAGCTGTATCTCCACTTGGGATTTATGTCACATCGCTCGGCTGATACTTCCCCGGGACACAATTGTACATGGGAGTTGGGTCGAAAGGGCTTTTAAACCCCCCCAAACAGAACACAAACTCCTACTATATATTTGAGACAGTCGGTCTGTTTGTTCAAGAACGCCTCTTAAATGGGAAGAGTTAGGACCACCAAATTTGGTAGGTAGCTTCCTCTTCTCATAACTTAAAGCAGTGTCAGGGTTTGTTTGTGCCAGGCCAATGGGCTGTGCCTGGAATGGAATTGGTTCTCAAATCACCCTACAGAAAAGAGGCAGAATCACCAGGCAGGTGGAAGGGGTTGTCATAACTTACCTTCCTTTAAGGGTTGTGCTAGGAAAATGGGAGCCCTTGAGTGGGGGGGAGGTGGAGCCCCCCAATTCATACAGGAACATATCCTATGGCAGTGCTGCAGGGGGTTCTGGGACTGGCAGCAGGCCTTCTTGTTGGCTGTGGCTCAAGGTCACTCCAATGACATCACCCTCTCCTGCATAGCAGCGCTGACTGGCTTGAGGGGGAGGCTGGTAGGGCTCAGCCAAAGGCATCCGCCCAGTTACTGAGCCGGGACATGCAGCCTGATAAAGAACAAGCCTTAGCTGATATTTTCCTGCTGGGATGTCACATTTTCCAGGCGCCCCCGGCTGAGAGCGAGACCCTTTCCATGCCTGTCTGTAGCCTACCCATGTAGGGTGACGGCCGCTTCTAAAATCGCCTGCCGGCAGCCTGCCCCCCACCAGCCGACTGCCGGAGCACGGTGCTTCTTTGAGGGGAGTGACTTACAGGGCTCCCCCAGAACTCTCCACAGGCTTCACGTGCAGTCGCGGCCTTCGATACTGGCGCTGGATCAGGGCCTTAACGACAATCGGGGTGCGCATGCCGTACGTGCTGTGGCAAAGTCCTCGCTCGGGCCCCTTGCCCTGGGATGTCTCCTGGTCCACAAATCTTGGTGCAGTCACCCCAGGCCTTTATGGCCAGTTTCCCACACCCCCTATTTACAGAGCTCAGCATCCTCAGCCAGCTTCTCCTACCTGGGGAGCACACACAGCCACACACCCCTTAACTCCTCCCTCCTGGCCCCTTTCCTCGGCCTTGTCTAGCCCTCTGGCTACTGAGGCCCACAGCTGCTTCCATCAGGCCTTCAGCCTTGGGCTTGCTCAGCCGTCTGCCATCAGCCTTTTCAGCCAGGCTACCGCGGCAGAGCTCTTAGCCAGCCGTCTGTCACAGGGCACAACCCGCGAGTCAGACACCGGTAGCAACTCCATCGCTACAGCCGTATGGAGATTGGCACTCAACATAGGACTAAAAGTCCCTCCCATTATGCAGCATGAGCCCATCCCTGGAGCGGAGTCACCACACTGTAACACCTCGGGCCAGAACCGCCATTTGGCGACAGTCGCCTGGCTCCACTGGGGGCCGTCCCTACCCATATACAAAACACGCCACCGGGAATTTCATGGTGCCCTATGCCAGGGTTTCTCAACCTTTTTTTTTTTTTTTTTAAATAAAGCACCCCTTTAAAAAAATTATAAGTACCCCCAGTCCCTACAGTTTTCCGACACATTTTTTTTTATTACCGTTGCAACACATTTGTTTCAACCACTTAATCGTAGCAGGGCGGGCGATGAAATTTTGGGGTGTAAAAAGTACAGAAATAATAAAGGGCTGTAAAACTTAAAACAAAAATTCAATTTTCTCTAAATTTCAGCTGGGTTGACGTGCCCCCCAGACTTCTCCTGAGTATCCCTAAGGGTACTCGTACCACCTCCCTCAGACTCCTGCCTCGGATGCCCCCTCAGGGCTCCACATCCAGCCCCTATTCATCAAGGGGTGACATAGAATCATAGAACTGGAAGGGGCCTCGAGAGGTCATCGTGTCCAGTCCTCTGCCCCCACGGCAGGACCAAATACTGTCTAGACCATCCCTGACAGGCGTCTGTCCAACCTGCTCTGAAATATCCCCAGTGTTGGAGATTCCACAACCTCCCTAGGCGATTTAGTCCAGCGTCTCACCATCTTCCCAGGCGCGGGGCTGCAGTACTCTCCCGCCTCCTGCTCCTCTTGAGAAGTGACGCTTTCCCCTTAAAAGTGCCACGTCTCTCCGTCTGTCTGCACGACCACCCGTTGCTTCTCCAGCCCACTGCCCCTCCGGCCCATGCCTCTCTCCCAAGCCTGCTCCAGCGCTGCCGGCTCTCCTGCACCAGACAAGTTGGCAACCCCTTTCCCGCCCTCTCGTGTGAGGAGCGGCTGCTCAGGGAGTGCAGGCAATGCTCATGCCGGATTGCACGGGGCACCAGCACCAGTAGGGACAGCCCTGGCTCCCCTCAAGTCACCTATCCAGTGAGGGTGAGGCCAGAGGGGCCATGAGCCCAGTTGGTCCAGTGAAAATGGGCGGATCCCCCATTTTCAAACGGAGCACCCTTTGGAAATCTTAGACCCGATGTGGGGTCCCACGGGGGGTGACAGACCACAGCTTGGAAACACTCCGCTCTCGCCTGACTCCTTGTCGGGCGCAGCCCCGAAAGCGTCACCCGCTGAGCCGTTTTATCTGGCGCCGAGTTTTATCTCACCGCGCGTCGCCACGGCTTTGGAGCGCCTACCACGTAAAAGCAACCGCAGTAACAAAGGGCTGGGAGCCTCTGGCGTCTCCCTTCCCGGGAACGGCCTGCTGGCGGTGGGACTTTCTCCCTTGGAGGGGCAGGGGGCTGGATCAAAGGGGTGTTTGACTTGTGAGGCTTTTTCTTCCTCAAGTAGATCTGTCTGTCCACATCAGGCTGGAGGGGCAGATGCCAGCTCGAGCAGCCAGATCCGCAGTAGGTCTCCAACGAGCCTGCTTAAAAAACCAGAAGCGTAGCTACAGCCGTGCAAGCTGCCTCGGTGCCCCATGTCCTTGTGGTCTCAGACTGGCTTGTACTCAGAGCAGCCAGCTCCTTCGTGAAGCCCAGCTAGTGAAGGCAAGCCCAAACTCCGCCCCCCCAGCCTGAGGCCCCGCCCCTTTAGCAACCTTCCCTCCCCCATAAAACCATGCCCCGCCCAACTCCAGCCTGATCCTTTCTGGCCAGCTGGCAGGCTAGGACTGGTGCGCCTCCGCCACGGCCCCAGCCTTCCCCGGCAGCTGTGGCGTGTAGGCAGTTTGGGGAAGGCAATGCCTTCCCTTGCCTACATGATTTGCTG